CTTAGCACTGCTTTCATTGTATCCCATAAATTTTGGTATGATGTGTCATCATTTTCATTAAATTCTAAAAAGTTTTTAATTTCTTTCTTTATTTCTTCCCTTACCTGATTATCAAGGAGTAGGGTGTTGTTCAGTTTCCATGTAAATGTGGGCTTTCCATTCTCTTTGTCATTTTTGAAGACCAGCCTTAGACCATGGTGATCTGATAGGATGCAGGGAATTATTTCAATTTTCTTATATCTGTTGAGGCCTGTCTTGTGCCCAATTATATGGTCTATTTTGGAGAAGGTACCATGAGGTGCTGAGAAAAAGGTATATTCTTTTGCTTTAGGGTGAAATGTTCTATAGATATCTGTTAAGTCCATTTGGTTCATAACTTCTGTTAGTTTTACTGTATCTCTATTTAGTTTCTGTTTCCATGATTTATCCATTGCTGAGAGTGGGGTGTTGAAGTCTCCCACTATTATTATGTGAGGTGCAATGTGTGTTTTGAGCTTTAGTAAGGTTTCTTTTATGAAATTCGATGCTCTTGTATTTGGCGCATAGATTTTCAGAATTGAGAGTTCATGTTGGTTGACTTTTCCTTTGACAAGTATGAAATGCCCTTCCTTATCCTTTTTGATAGTTTTAAGTTGAAAGTTGATTTTATTCGATATTAGAATGGCTACTCCCGCTTGTTTCTTAGTGCCATTTGCTTGAAAAATTGTTTTCCAACCTTTTACTCTAAGGTAGTGTCTGTCTTTGTCACTGAGGTGGGTTTCCTGTAAGCAGCAAAAAGCTGGGTCCTGTTTGCGTATCCAGTCCATTAGCCTATGCCTTTTTATTGGGGAATTGAGTCCATTGATGTTAAGAGATATTAAGGAGAGGGTGTTCTTGCTTCCTGTCATTTTTGCTAATAGTGGAGACATCGTTTGTGTGGTTATCTTCTTTTGGGTTTGATGGAAAAGGATTATTTTCTTGCTCTTTCTAGGGTATGATTGCCCTCCTTGTATTGGAGCTTTCCTGCTATTATCCTTTGTAAAGCTGGATTTGTGGGAAGATACTGTGTAAATTCAGTTTTGTCATGGAATATCTTAGTTTCTCCGTCTATGGTAATTGAGAGTTTTGCTGGGTAAAGTAGCTTGGGCTGGCATTTATGTTCTCTTAGGGTTTGTATGATATTTGTCCAGGATCTTCTGGCTTTTATAGTATCTGGTGAGAAGTCAGGTGTAATTCTGATAGGTTTGCCTTTATATGTTATTTGGCCTTTTTCCCTTACTGCTTTTAAAATTCTGTCTTTGTTTTGTACATTTTGAGTCTTGATTATTATGTGACGGGAGGTATTTCTTTTTTGATCTAGCCTGTTTGGCGTTCTGTAGGCTTCTTGTGTGATTATGGGCATCTCATTCCTTAGGTTAGGGAAGTTTTCCTCAATAATTTTGTTGAAGATATTTACTGGCCCTTTAAGTTGGGAATCTTCACTCTCATCTATACCTATTATCCTTAGGTTTGGTCTTCTCATTGCGTCCTGGATTTCCTGGATATTTTGAGATAGCAACTTTTTGCATTTTGCATTTTCTTTGATAGTTGTGTCAATATTTTCTAAGGTATCTTCTGCACCTGAGATTCTTTCTTCTATCTCTTGTATTCTGTTGGTGATGCTTGTGTCTATGACTCCTGATTTCTTTTTTAGGTTTTCTATCTCCAGGATAGTCTCCCTTTGTGATTTCTTTATTGTTTCCACTTCCATTTTTATGTCCTGGATGGTTTTGTTCAATTCCTTCATCTGTTTGTTTGTGTTTTCTTGTAATTCTTTAAAGGATTTTTGTGTTTCTTTAAGGACTTCATCCTGTTTTCCTGTGTTCTCCTCAAGTTTTTTGATAGTGTTATTTACTTCCTTCTTGTAGTCCTCTAGCATCATCATTAGAAATGATTTTAGATCTGGTTCTTGTTTTCCTGGTGATATGGGGAGTTCAGGACTTTCTAATGTGGGAGAACTAGGTTCTGATAATGGCAAGTACCTTGGGTTGCTGGTGCTTGTGTTCTTGCGCTTGCCTTTCGCCATCTGGATCACCTTTGTGCTATCAGAGCTGTCTCTGACTGGGGCCTGTCTTTCCTATTATCTAGGTTGTGTCAGAACTGTTTGGGATGGGTTTTGCTGCTTGAGTTAGAGATGAGGCCCAAGATGTGCTCGGTGCTCAGGTGGAAACCGGAAGGGGCCGGGGCTCTGGGTCAGGAGCGGATTTCTGGATCCCAATGAGTCCCAGTGGGTCCCAGTGGGTCCCAGTTGCTCCCTGATTGGGGGCGAGCACTGCCACCTCCTAGCCTAAGAAACTGCTTGAGCTAGCTTGAGCCACGGAGAGCCCCGCTCCCTCTAGGTTCTGTGAGATTGGGTGCAGAGCTGACTCCCGGGATCTGCTCTGGCACAGACCGGAAGGAACCCACGCTCCGGGCCCTGGAGTGAACTCCTGGGTCCCAGTGGGTCCTAGCCACTCCCTGTTCGGGGGCAAGCACTGCCACCTCCTAGCCCAAGACCCTGCTTGGCACAGAGGTCCTGCGAGCCCCGCTTCCTCTGGAGTCTGGGAGATTGGGTGCAGAGCTGCCTCCCGGGATCCGCGAGTGCTCGGGCCCCGATCGGATGGAGCCCGCTCCAGGCCAGGAGCGAATTCCTGGGTCCCAGTGGGTCCCTGTTGCTCCCTGTTTGGGGTGAGTGCTGCTTTTTCCTTACCTGGGATGCTGCGTGAGTTCAAGCTCCTGGGAGTCACTGTTTTTCTTGGTTTTCTGCAGTTGGGTACGGAGCTGCTGCCTGCGACCTGCTCTAGGCTCGGTCCCCTCTTGTAAATTTTTAAGGGCATTGTTAAGGCATGAAAGGTATAGTGGCAGAGGAAAGACAATGTGGAATTTGACATGAAAAGCTCTAGAGAATTTACACTGTATTTTTCACTTCTAGAAATAGATTTTTTTTCTAAAAAGAGAAAAGGCAGACATCAACAGTCTCTCTCTCTCTCTCTCTCTCTCTCTCTCTCTCTCACACACACACACACACACACACACACACAAACATCTCTATTCTTTGTTACAAAATTAAAAAATTACATGGTTAGATTTCTATTTCAGAATTTTTCACAATTACATTTGCCTATTTGATGATTTCTAGTTGAAATTCTATTAAAACAGTCTAGAACAAATGGAGATAGGTAGATACAAAATTTTCTTTTCTATATTGTTTCTTCTGTTCTTTTAAAATCTTTTTATTGATTCTTTGTGAGTTTCACATTGTGCACCTTAGTCCTGCTCATCTCCCCTTTCCCTCATATCTGCCCTTCACCCTTGCAACCTCCCCCGAAATAAAAAACACACAAACACAAACAAACAAAAATCAAAGCATAAAAAGACATTGTGGAAGCTGTAGTATATCACATTATGTCCCACAGTATATCCTTCTGTCCACACATCTTAACTTCATGTGTTCATTGCAATGATTCACTGGTCTGGTTTGAGGTCTCTGGCTTCTGTGACACCATCAATATTGGATCCTCACTGGGACTCTTCCTGCTTATCCCGTTGTTTCCCTGTGTCATGGAGATCCTGCAGCTTTAGATCAGCAAAACCTGCTTTTTTCATGTGTCCTAGTCCTTCATAGATGATATAGATTTTTGGGCCAACTCAGAGCCTTGGATCTGGGCGTGGGTTGTAGCTCAGCTGGTCAGCATGCCGGCTTTCCCGTAACCACACCACCAAGCAGAGCTCTGCAGCATTACTTCAGTTAGACCACCCAATGTCAACATCACCATTGGCAGGAAGCAGGGTCAGCTTTCCTCCTCTCCTACTCTCGTGTCCTCGAGCTGGCACACTCACATCCATGCCTCCCGGGCCAGTTCCACTGTGCTGCCCAGTCAAAGGCAGGGTTAACTCTCCCAAGGGCTGTAGTCTGCAAAGGTTTGGACCAGCCCTACCACTCTCAAGCCCTCAGGGCTGGCTCACCAGTGTCTTCACCATCAGGGCCAGCCCTATTATATTGCTCAGAGTAGGTGCAGGGCTAGATCTCCTGAGTGCTACAGCCAGTTGGGGTTGTGGGGGGGGGGCAGGGCTAGGTCTTCCATCCATGCTCATGACCTTGTAGGCAGCTTTCCCGACTATCTGAAGTGGCAAAGGGCAGAGGACGGGAGGAGGTGCATCACCTCTGCACCTGTACCACCCCATGGCAGACAAGTGGCAGGGTCTTCACATTCACACCCCCAGGCCAGCTTACCCACATCTCTGCTTCCAGGGCATTGCACTGCCTGGGTGAAGTACAGAGCCCAGTCCTGGACTGCTGCAACCAGTGAGAGGTGGGACCAGCTGTCCAGAGCATCAAAGCCACTGAGGTGTGGACCTGGTTCTACACAGGCCCTGGAGATCCACTAGGTTCCAGGTGGCTACTCTGACTATATTCTCTAGTGGTAATATGAGCCACTGACATTGACACTGACCTCTGCCCTACTGCTGCATAGCCACTGTCCCAGACATGGACCTCATTGGCAGCTCAGGCAGGGACTTCACTGTGGCCCCAGGTGATGTGGGGCTACCCAGTCACAAAAGGATACTTCTGTCCACCCTGGAGTCTCCAGTTCCATTTCCCTTCACAATGCTCAAGCTGCCCCACCTCTCTTTCTCTTCCATCTGTCGGCCACAAGCTTGCACACTGTGGTGGCTCCTATTGCAGTCTGGCTATGCTGCTAGTAGGCCATTGGGTGACATCCTCCAACAAGCTAGTGTCTATGGCCTGCCTGTGCCATGAGCTGGAGGGAGGACAGGTATATGGGTAGCATGCTGGTTTGCAGGTCTCTCTGCCTTCCCCCTCCTATGCTGTGCTGTGTGGTATTAGGCAGGGATCTCTGTGACTATGGCCTGCCAGTACATTGAGGGGGGGAGGGGGGCAGAAGACAGGTCTGTGGATGTCTTTCCCTGCCTGTACTGCATGGCATGGTGGAACGCAGGTCTGTGTCTGTGTTGCTCCTGCACTGAAGTGGATTTGATTTTTATGAGTCCTAGACATAAAACAGCTTTTGCCACCAAGCCAGGCATCAAGCTAGAATGAACAAAGGACAGCCATCTGCTCTGTCCCTGACTGATATAGGAATACCACTGACAAGAAGTCTCGTTGCCCATTGCCAGGAGGGTCGAAATAAGATTTATCTTCAGAAGAATAATTGAAAGTAGAAAAATTCATACACTAATAGGATTCACTGCAGTCTTTATTCATACAAAAGAAATTTTGCTATCACTTTAAATCTCCAGAAATAGGGACATTCCCAGGAAAGCATGCCAAAAATCTCTGAATCTATCATAGATCATTTTGATTTTTGCTTTTTTTTTTTAGAATTTCCTAATGCATACAATGTCTTTTGATCACACCAACCCCCATTACATCCCTTTCACTTCCTCCTTCCCCTTCCACCTCTCCAAATGTCCCCCTCCTAGTCCTCATCACAGTCTTTGCTATAAGAAAAATATTTAGTCTAGATACTCAGTCTTGGATTAGTTATTTTGTGTTTATGTGATCAAAATGCCTGACAGAAACAACTTCCTGGAAGAAAGATTTATTGGGCTCACAGTTTCAGCAGGTCTAAGACCATCGTGGTGAGGAAGGTATGGACACTTCATAGTGGTAGGGATTTCTTTGGCTGCCATCATGGCACACTAGGAAGCTGAAAGATTTTGACTAGAACTTGGGGTACACGTAACATCAAAGGCCAGTACCTAATGCTCTACTTCCACCAGTTAAGTTTCACCTTCAAAAGATTCCACAGCTTATGAAAACAGTGCAGCTGGCCAGAGGACAAGCATATAGGGAATGGCTTACATTTAAACACAATAAGCTTCCCTTGGCATTCTCCTATTAACGTATCCTGGATACATGTCCATCAGTGCTTACCCAGTTTCAGCACAATCAGCACCAGTATTGGGTTGGAAGCAGTATGACCTCCTCAAAATGTCTTAAATAATTACCTGAGCAAGCATATTGTTTCTTTTTTGCAAGGTATCTTTTTTGCCACTGTTATCACAAGCGACTATCCTATAAGATAATACACAACTTTTATACGCCCATACTAAGCAAAGAAAGCCACCTCTGATATAAATAAATAAATAAATAAATAGGTAAATAAGTAAATAAATAACATGAAAAGGAAGCTGGAGTCAGTGCTAACTTACCAATAATATCAGTGACAGTGAGGTTTGCTCTTATCCCTAATTGTTCAACCATAAGGATTCCCTTTAGTCTAAGGCAAGCCAGAACAATTTGTCACCCTAATTGATAGGTGCAGTTCCAGGGCAGCAAGAGTTGAGAGGAAGGGGAGCTAAGGCAGTGAAGCAGCAAAAGCAAATGCAAAGTGATCTATGAACAAGCCAGTGAGAACTCTCAAAGAAGAATGGATACTTAATTGTTGACCGGGGCAGTTTATCTTCAGACAGGTTGACTCAAGTCACTGCTTTGTAGGAACATCTCTTGACAGGATGGTTAAAGAGGAATTTTTCTACCATCCTGTCCCCTGTCTTTTCACTGGACATTGCCATTATATGGAGTGTTAAATCTTTGCAATTCCAGGCTCTGTCACCTTGATCTTCTGAAAAGCTTCTGGGGAAACCAAGTCATGTACCTCTTGTTACAGTCCTGATACTGAGAAGGACTTGGGAAAGTTATGAGCCCAGTAGGCCTGATACAATCAGGCCCATGGGCACTGGAGTCCTGTGGCTTTCATTGTAAAAGAATGGAGATCAGGAGATTTGTGAAGGCATCATTACCTAGTGGTTGAGTCTAACAGCTTTAGATTTGAATCCCAGCTCTTACATGTACAAGCAATATCATTTTCAACAAGTTATTTAATCTCATATATAAAATGAGGATTACAATTGCAATTTTCATAGAGTTCTGAAAAGTAAATGAGATATGACCTACGAGGTTATTACAAGACCACTTGATATGCAGAAAATATTTGAGAAGCTTGGACAGCTCTCCAAGAGAGGATTATAGAACTTATTATGATTAATTAATGGTGTTACTTTTTAAAAAAGGAACTACATGTCTACTTAACCTGGAAAATTTCAAGTAGATTTCTTTTGATTCCATTATGTAATGCTCATAATAAAAATCACTGCCACTTTTTGAGTAAGAGGTATATAGCAGGTACTATATATTCAACCTCACATTTTGGAAAAAAATCTGTGTTTTAGACATGTTGTGAAATTTGCTCACATCTCTATGACTGAAAGCACCTTAAGAACTTTAAAAAATTTTGCCTATATTTTATGTTGATTGGGGTCCTTGAGAAAAATGAAATATTTAAACTGGAGAAATAGGGAGTGTTTAAAAACATCCATGTGTCCCTCAACCAAAGAATGGATAAAGAAAATATGATTCACTTACACAATGGAATACTACTCAGTTATTAAAAACAAAGACATCATGAAATTTATAGGCAAATGGATAGAACTAGAAAATACCATCCTAATTGAGGTAACCCAGATGCAAAAAGACATGCATGCTATATATTCACTTATAAGTGGATATTATCCATGTAATACAGGACACCCACCATATACTCCACAGACCCAAAGAAGCTAAGTAACAAGGAGTCCCAAGGGAAGATGCTTGAATGTCACTCAGAAGGGGAAATAAAATTGTCTTGGGAGGTGGATAGAGGGAGAGAACTGTGTGAGAGAGGGGCTAGCGAGGGGAATCGGGTAGGGAGAGATGATGAAGTGTAGGGAGAACCCAGGGGAGGTGCATCTCTAGGACATGCCAGACCTGGGATGAGGATGCTCCAGGGAGTCTACAAGGTTGACTCTAGCTAAGACTTCTAGCAGTAGGGGATATGGGTCCTTAAGTAGCCAGGCAGGATTCCAAGTGGAGGGCTAAGGACATCAACCCATCTACAAATACTTTGACCCAAAATTTGTCCTTCCTACAAGAAGTGCAGGGACAATGATGGAACAGAGACTGAGGGAATGTCCAACCAATAATGATCCCAACTTGAGACCCATCCCAAGGGTAAGCACAAATCCTTGACACTATTAATGATACTCTGTTACTCTTGCAGACAGGAATGTAGTATAACTGTCCTCTGAGAGGCTCCACCCAGCAGCTGACCAAAACAGATACCCACAGCCAAATATTAGACCAAAGAGCATACAAGGGCTGGACCTAGCCCCCATCCCCACATATCTAGCAGATGTGTAGCTTGGTCTTTGGGCAGGTTCTCCCAACAACTATAGCAGGGACTTACTCTGATTCTGTTCCCTGTCTAAGGATCTTGTTCTCCTAAATGGGCTGCCTTGTCTGGCCTCAGTGAGAGAGGATGTACCTAGTCTCACAGTGACTTGAAGTGCCAGGGTGAATTGGTACCCCTCCCTGAGATAAATAGGAGGGGGAACTGAGGGTGGGGCCATGTGAAGAAGAAGAATGGGAGGAGAGGGGGGCTGAGATGGGGTATAAAGTGAATAAATATATAAATTAGTAGGAAAGTTGTCTGGATAGCCAACAAGTTGCTCACCTATTTTTTCTTCTTACAGAGAGTATATAGAGGCTAAGAAAGATGGTGCCGAACCTGGAAGTGAACTGGTACAGTTGAAATCTATAGCCACTACTGCTCAATAAGGAGAAAGTAGTTGGAGAAAGTGACTGACAGATATGCACAGAAGAGTTAACCTTGACACTGAATCCCTGGCCTAGCCCACTTATGAAGTGGAATGAAGTGGAACCTCTGTGAGGTATTTATGGGCTTATAAATATCTTCAAACTGTCTTTCTATTCTGAGAAATTCATGAGCCCTTACCCCATGCCCTTTCCTTATTGCCACTCAGTTTTCAGCCTTACTCATTCTAAGCCTCTCAGTAGCTAAACAACTTAATAGTCAATCAACTTGAACTACTGTAGAACTATAACATAAGCTGTCTCTCTTGCTAAAGGAAGTGGACAACTATGTTCATGGCTTGGATTTGTGCCCTCTTGGCAGTTTACACGCTATGTATGCCTTTAAAGCCCATCTGTGTATAGGACTGAGCATCATAATAGCATTTAACTGCTATCTAGTGTTAGCATGCTATGCAGATCCCTGTGTGAGCCAGATCTGAAATTTTATCTTTCCTATCTTCTGATCAAAGAGAACTCCAGATGAAGTCATATATGTGGATTAAAGGCAATATAGCAAAACACAGGTATGTGTCAAGGAGTATGAGCTTCCGAATTGTGCAGTTTATTTATGCCATTTCTATAATTGTCCAACCCAGTATTGTATATACCATTTCAAATTTAAAACTGTATTCTTCAGTGAAAGAGAATTTTATGGAAATATAGAGTAAATAACACCTGGCTCATAGATGGCAGTTAGCTTGGTCAGGCTTTCAGTTTTCTACTAGTATCTAGCAGCAGGCAAGATCTTTTCTAAAATAGAATTGTTGGCAGAACATTGGGCTGCTGAGATCTATTGGAGGCTCAATGCATTTCTATTGTTTGCTCTCACACACTTCTAATATTACTCTGTTGAGAGATAAGCACTACTGCCCAAGTTTTATCTTATCCCAGGTCCAACCTAATGTGTTAAAGAAAGGAGAATCAAACATATTTGGCATAACAGCATTATGATAGTCTTTAAGGAGAACTAGTTAATCTCGTTTAGAAGTGATATATCCTACCAGATTCCAGACCCCACACTCCAAGGAATGTAAATGATATAGCCAGTTTGGAATTTTTGTGGTATTATCACCCACCCTCTGCCACGCATATATCATGGCTGCCTACTTATTATTTACTGACTGTGTCTATTCACTGGGCCAAATTATCTTAATGTCATAATCATACTGTATCTGAAGAATATTCTTCAGGAAATGAAAATGATTAAATACTCTCCAGAATCCATTATGGAAAAGAACATGTGAGCATATCCCTGAGTATGCTTTGTTAAACTGTTGTCCTAATGGGAAGGCAAATGGCTTCTGATCATCATTGCTGACAGGAATGACTTATAATTTTGGTTAGGTCAGTGGCTATAAACTAGGTGCCAGAGAGTCTATTTATTTGCTCGTATAAAATTAACACTTCTAGAATCACAGCTGTGTCTGTATGCATTATATTAAGTCTGTGATGATCTACAGTCACTTACCAAGATCTATCTTGTACTGG